CCAATGATAAGCAGGCCTTAATATGTAAAGCAGGGTAAAGAATAAAAACAAATTGTGATCCAGTCCTAACCAATCAGAAGTAATCACTGTTTGTCTTCATGTTAATTACTTCCTGACCCTGGATACACTATCACTAGTGTTTCACCCTGTGTACTTTAACTTCATTCATGGAGCATCCTTGATCTATTAATTTTTTGACACATGGGAGACAAGATGTATAACGCGCTTTCCTGGAGCCAAGGTCCATGCAAGCTCCTCCTTTACCCAGAGGACTCCCTTTCTGTTGTCTGTGGGCTCACATCCCAGATGGCTGGCTGTGCACATCCTGTTTTACTAACAGCACATCTACAGCGTGTTTTTAAATCTATCTTCCACATGAAGGCATCTCTGTGTCCAGTTCACTGTGTCAGCAGCATCTTCAGTGGGAAAGGAATGGGATATGTACCTTTTTTTCCCCAAATTCTACAGATGTCATTCTGTTAGTCATTGGTATCTGAGTTGGTAAGCAAAACCAACAACAAAGACTCACACAACAAAATCCAGCTTTGCCAAGATGGAGGAACCCCAAACTTTCTAGGTCCTTCTGCTCATTCCTGGAATGCTACTGATTTTTGTACTTTGATATTGTATCCTGCTATCTTGCTGAGTTTGCTCATTAGCTCTGGGAGACTTCTGGAAATTTGGGGCCTTCTATATAAGCATCATATCACCTGTCGGGAAGAACAGCTCGGTTCCCACCTTTCCAGATACCTGTATCCTGTTTCTTCCTCTTGCCTGAGGGCTCTGGCTAATGTGCCCAGTACTATACTGCACAGGATTGGAGACAGGGCCATCTCTGTCTTGTTCCTTATCTTAGGGGAAACCAATCAGGTTTTCCTCATGTAATACGACCCTAGCAATAAGTTTTACATAAATGGCTCTTATTAGGTGAGGTAAGGTCCTCCTCTACCTGTTTACCTCAAGGCTTTTATCATAAACGGATGGTAGGTTTTCCAAAGGCTCTTTCTGCACCTGTTGAGAAGATCATGCGATTTTTTTTGCTTGCTTATGTTTATGTGATATGTTACATTTATTGATTTGCATATGTTTAACCATCTGTTCATACACAAACAGAAGTTTGAACCCAGATATGTTACCATGTACTAAAGTAAAATCAAAAGTGAATCGAAAACCTAGATATTAAAACAGAAACAGTGAATATGCAAAAGGTAAAACAGATAAAACTCTCACAGACTTAGGCCTAGGCGTGGCCTTCTTAAACGAAACTCCAACTGAACAAGAAATAACATCAATAATGAAGGAACAGGGCCAGATCAAATTAAAAAGCCTCTGCACAGCAAATGAAACAACCAACAGAGCGAAGAGACAACTTACAGAACGGGGGTACATTTTTCCAGCTATTCCTCAGATAGAGGACTAATGTCTAGAATATGTAAAGAACTCAAAAAGGATAAGACTCCTCCAAAACAAAAGATCCACTCAAAAATGGGCAACTGAAAAGAGCAGCCGCTTCTCAGCAGCGGAGATGCAGGAATCTGTACGGAGATGCCGCAAAAGGCGAAAGCCAGAAATTCCATCCAACACTACTGTTCCCTTTCTAGGTATCGTTTGACAAGAGATAAAGACACGGTATTACAGTGATTCACGCATACCCAAGTTTACAGCAGCACAGTTCACAATGACTGAGTCTTGGAAGTGGCCTCACTGTCCATCCACAGACGAATGGGTAAAGGAAATGTAGTATGTACCCACAGTGGAGTACAACTCTGTCATAAAGAAGGACAAACCTTTAGTCACTTCCAGGAAGATAGATACAGTCTGAGAGGATTACAAGTGACATAAATCAAACACAGGAGCTTAAATATCGCAAGGTCTGGCTTACGTGAAGAACCAAAGTACACATGATTTTAAAAGGAAAATAGAAGATTCATAACAGGAAAACTGGGAGGCAGAGCTTTTGCACATTGGAACCTATGTGCAAAGGAACCTAGAGATGAAAGACAGGAGGTGGGAGGAGGGGGCAAGGGGACAGAGGAAGAACTAAGAGGTGACCGGTGCGTGCAGCAGCTCCCCACATCAAGTGTGATCACTGTGAGCTGAACACACACTGACACTGAGTACTAAGGAAAATGCCCTCCTCCCCCCCACCCTAACACAGCAGGGAAACTCACACAGGGCCGGCTGGGGCCCTGGGGCCCAGAGGACAGGGCTGTGGGGTCTGCCATTTCTTTAGGTCCCAGGCAAGGCACTGCAGGAGGCTCCAAATTACAACCACCACCACCGGGCACAGACAGGAGAGGCTGTGGGAGAATCCAGAAGAGAGTGGTCTGACGGTGGGAGTGGCCTGCCCCTCCCCTTCCAGGAAGCCTTGGGTAGGAGCTGAACCCTTCTCACATTCTGGCCTGCCACAGAGTGGGCACTGTGGTTCTTGCCAGAGAGTTTTTCTAAGTCACTAAGTTTCTAAGTCAACATGCAATTCTCCTGTCTCAGCCTCCCTACAGTGCTAGGAGTGCAGGCATGGCAGCCAAACGGGATTTACTTGATACTTTTGAATGTTCCATTATGCTCACTTCTTCATCCCATCAGCCTGCTCTCCATTATTCCTTACTACACATGCCACGTGTGCACACACACACACAGTTTTCTCATGTCTTCTTTGATTTCCATTCCATCACTCCATCTGCCCTGTGGATCCAGCCGATGCCTGGACTCTCCCCTCCAAGATGACCCTGAAGCCTCCCCTGTTCCTTCCACCCTGCCCATCTGCAGGCCGAGCCCCCCTTCTGGGGCTACGGTGTCCAGCTCCTCTCTCCCTGCCCTCTGCAACCTTCTGTATCTCTGCCTCGGAAGCATTTCACTGACTACCTTAGTCCATCAGGACTGAGTCAGGGTGAGGGTTCAGGCCCCATTGCCTTCACTGCTGATTTTCTCTGTAGCACCATAACCCCTGCTGCGTGTAGTCACCTCCATGGGCGGTCACAGCTGCCACCTCTGACACTGTGCCAGCCACCTGTCCCCTTCCCTGCACGAAGCTCTTCCCCAAGGTGCTTCCAAAAGGCCACCGGGCTGAGCAGGAAGTTGTTCAGTAGAAAAGACTGGGACTCCCATTTCAGGTTCTTAGATACTCTCTTGCCCTCGTCCCCAGCACCACAACCTATTCTCTGTCCGCCTGACCCTTGTCATTGCTTTCCACACTCACCTGGGTCTGGCCAGGGTCACCTCTGAACTGTAACAGCTGTCGGGCCAATGGCTCACTGCTTTGGGACCAGCCTATCCCATGCAGTCACAGCTTCCAGATCCACCCATCCTCACACACCTTAGACCCTCAGATGCTTAGAAAGACATCTCCCGATGGTCAAAGTCCACCCTTCTTACCCAGTCAGTCACAGTCCAGGAGAATTTGACTTAACCCATCTCTCCAGAGAGGTCAGCACACTCCCTGATGAAATCGGCCTGGCCTCTCTGCCCTGTCTGAACCCGCAGTGCTGCCAGAGCTGGGGCCTGAGCTCAGTGGCAGAGTGCTGAGCAAGAGTAAGGTCCTGGGGTCCACACCCAGCAGTAGCGAAGACAAGACCTACCTTGTGATGCCAAAGCCCATGCTCAGCTTCCTCACCGCAGGTGTCTGCCCTGCTGGAGGCCTCTGGGCTGGTGCTGTGACCTAGTGCGGGGCCAGGGATCCTCATTAGCAGGACTTAGCGTCCAGTCACCGCCCCTTACTAACTTGCAGGGACCACCGCTGCTGATTTCACAGGACATCAGCTTTCTAACCAGCAAGGTGGGCACATGACTCATCCTGCAAAACTGGTGTGAAAATTAAACCGGGGGTGTTAAATCACTCACGGGGTTTCTGGTTCATCTCAGCCCTTCAGGCATGTCCCCCCGCCTTCCTCCTCCAGCTGACTCTGTGCATCTTCGCACTGCTGTCAGTCACAGCATCTTAAATGTTTTATATCACCCGTTATCCCTATGAAATCATTAAGGTGTCACAAGTGAATTTATGTTAAGAATGGGACATCACCAGGGCTGAGTCAGCGGTAGAACTCTTGTCTGATGTGCACAAGGCTCTGAGCCCAGTTCCCCAGCACTGAAAAGATAGTTTGGCAGGGAAGAGAAAACAAATACGCAACAGTGAAGGAACATTAGGCTAAAGCTAAAGGGTATTAGGGTAATTACCGTGGTGCCTTGGTTTCGAAACTTAATTCTCTCCAGGACTCTGGTCACAAACTGAATCGGATGAGAACCGAATCAAATTCAGTGGTTAGGTTCAAGGTGGACCTTAGGAGAAAATTTGATTCGGCTCTCCTCCTCTCCTCATTTTGGGACCAGAATCGTGGGAAGAATTAAGTTTGTGAACTGAGGTATCACTGTCCTTAGCTCCATTTCTATGTGAATTAATATTTCAACAAATGTGTTTTGCACATAAATTATGATGGATATGGCCTATTGATGCTAACATTTCCTGTTTCAGTCTTTAAAAGAAAACCAAATTTGCTAGATAAATTGTAACTTGCCCATTCAAGTAAAGCAAATAAAGATTCCCTCCAACTAATAAATTAACTCTGCATTGTGCCATTTACCAAGATAAGAAAGCTTTGGTAATCCACCCTGATCCCTGCAGATAAACCGTGGGCTGAGACCCCTGCATAAATCACATCACAGCAGTCGCTCACAGGGATCTGTGTTCTCCTTTGCAGAATCCCACACTATGGTGCCCTTAAAATGGGAGTTTCTCTTGCTTCTGTAAGACATCAGACAACCACAGAAATTCTATCCCTATCCTGGCTTTTGTCCCTCTGGGAAAGTCAGACAACTCAGCTGGGACAGGAAAGCAGGAAGCAGGAGGCACCTACCCCTGAGTGTCCTCCCTTGCAGACTGGCTCCCAGCAGGAGCCTGCGCTTCATGCTTTGTTCTCCTTCTCAACACCATCCCTGCCTCCTTCATTTAAAAGACACTGCTCTTTTGAAAGCAGTCAATTCTACTGCACAAAACAGAACCTTACCATAAGGTCTCCAGTCCATGCCCCAGGGGCAAGTGTCTCCACAGAAAGAGGTTGTCCGGATGACTGACGTAGGAGGGCAGGGAGTGAAAGCTCTTCTGGTTAAACCACACCTGAAAAGCAGAGGTGCTTTAGTGCTGTCCTCCAGATGCATGCTCCTCAGTCTCTCCTGGGTGCAGGACTGCAGGTGTCAATCAGCGCCCACAGCACCTGAGAATGGGACATCGCCCCCGGCTGACACTGAGCAGTCAATTCCAAGCTGCTAATATTTATCTCAAGCATGTAATTTACAGCTAAAAATAGATTAATTTTTCTGCAGAACAAATACGAATGCTGCTCGCTAATCATAGTCTCGGAGGGAACAGGGAACTGAGGCCTGTCACCTTTCTTCTTCTCCTCTTCCTCGGTTGGTGAGCTAATGAAATTTCACCTGCAAATTAAAACTGTGGAAGATGAGCAGAAGGGAAAAAATGACTTTCAAATTAATAACGCAATGGAGGACATTATTCCTCAAAATAAATTGGACCGAACGTTTGCTGAGCATGGAGAACAAAGCTGTGGACCTCTTGGCGAGAAGCAAGGTGCGGGAGGAAGTGAGACAGAATGTTATCAAATCAGGATAATAAGTGTCACAAAGACACTACTCAAACCATCACTGCCTACATGGCAAAATCTCCACCCTTTCCTGAAAAGTCGGTGCTCATCCTGGGAGCTGCTGAATGTCCTCTAGAAATACAGAGAACCAACCAGAACAGCAGGTCTTAATCCACCTGCCAAAGCGCTCATCGGGAGATGAGCCTACACCTACACGGTGCCATCTTTGCAAGGGACGATCCACTTGTGGGCACTGATGCTGCCCCAGCAAGTGCAGCCACTTCAGGAGTCACCAAAGCTTACACGAGGTGTGACCCAGACCTGCAATCTCCTTTTGCACCGCATCCTGCTAAGACCAACTGTGCTTAATCCAAGATCCTCTGGGGGCAGCTACTGTGTCCCTGGGACAGCTACGTGATCAGAGATGCTAGGGTCCTTTAAAAACCAAGCTGGACGCTGCTGAGCGAGACAGCATTCTCCCACCCTTCCTCTGCTCACCTTCTCCAGCAATTCAGAAAAAATACCCCCTTTCTTGAGTATTTTAACTCTACAGAGAAGTCCTGGCCAGGCCTCCTTTAAGCTCCAAGGGGAGGGAGTGAAGCTGGAGAGGTGCTCAGTGCAGAACTGGGGATACCCCGTGAGAGTCTACAGAGTGGGGCTGGGGCGGGTGGACCCCACACCACAGAAAACAAGAGCAGTAGATCCAAAGCAGCTGAAACCACAGCTCTGCGAAGGAGGGGAAGGGCCGAGCTCCTCCAGCAGAGATGACAGCTCCCAACTCAGAGAGCACAACTCACAGCTCAGAAGCAGGTCCAGCTGCTCCGCCCACTAGAGGCAGAGCTCAAGGTCCCTTCCACACGGCTGAAGCTCATCTCCTCATGGTCTCCCTGGACATCATGCCCGCCCCCAGGAACGCCTACACAGGAACCCCACTTCTGGAACTCACAGACAAGAGACAGGCTTCTTTAGAAAACTCTGGCCTCTGGAAGCTGGGTTCTCCCTGGACCCCATTTGAGATGCTCTGCCTTATTTCTATTTTGATTAGTACATGCTTGTAGTACAAAAGGATAACGTTCCTCGTGGGGAGCTGGTACATGTACCTAACACATCTTTTTGTTTTTGTTCTGTTTTTTTGAGTCAGATTCTTGTTATGCAGTTCAGACCTTGAGCTAACTATATAGCCCAGACTGCCCTCAAACAACTTATGGTGATCCTCCTGCCTTAGCCTCCCAATGCTGGGATTACAGGTGTGCACCATGCCAGGTTTACCTAACGCATTCTAATTCTTTTTACTTACCCTTCTCCACAGTCTCACTGTGTATCCCCAGCTGGCCTTAAACTCAGGATTCTCCTGCTTCAGGTACTCAGATTACAAACATGAGCCACCACACACAGCTTGATCTTCTTAAATATTTAGCTGGAGGGGAAAAAAATCCTAAAACTAATGCTGGCCTTAGCTTGAGGACTAAGGCATTCATATTTTGTTTTGTTTGCTCCACTTGTGTTGTTTCAGTCTTTTTAATCTTTGTTTTAAAAGCCGATGACCTCTTTCTGACTTACAGTGACACAGCACAGTGGCCCACAGAAAGGGAGGTGCGGCTGCTGGGGAGGTAGGAAGCTGGGAGGACAGGGTCACCCTCCTCACCCCGGCCCTCCTTGCTCTCCTGGGCCGAGGGCCCCACTCTAGAAGCCTTCTTGTCCCTGGGCTTCCCATGCTGTCAGGTGCATTTCATGCCCCTCCAGACCGACCAGGCTCTGCCACACCAGACTGGTTTTGGCCCCTGGCCTGTGACACTGGCACGGGTTTAACAAGCCCGTGTCTGTCCTGTGGTCCTGCCTGGGCCTCTGATTCACCAAGAGAGAGCACAGGCTGGGTCTCCCTGCCAGAAGTCAGGACACAGGCTAAGCCGAACCCCACCTCACACCAAGCTGGACCTCGCCCAGCTTCCAGTCCTCGCCTCCTCCTGGCTCCCCTACCTGCTTGATCCAGCCTGGCGACCTCCACCCTATGGGAGAAGTCAGGAAGATGCAGCCTACAGGAGAGGACAGCATACTCAGCCCCTCATGTCCTACATGAACAGGGCAGACATGCAAGGGAACTGTCCTTCGGAGTGACCATCTGAAACCTGTGTTTCTTGGTTTAAAGCCAACGATTAACTCTCCCTGTAGGAAACCTACCCATCTCATTGAGCGATCCTCTGTCCCTCCCCCTGTCCTATTTTCTCCCTCTCCCCCTTTCCCTCTCCTTCTCTCCTTTTCTCTCTCTCCACTTTGACCTCTGTGCATGCAGCCTCTGGATATGCAAGGGTCCCCTTGGGACCTATCCACTTCCACCTTGTATGTGCACAGATCTTAGCAGCTCAGGTAGCCAGGCTGCCCACCACTGCCGAACTTTGCAGGCTGCTGAATACATGGTGTGTAGTGCTGAGGCCTCTGAGGTTCCCAATCCCTGTCACACAGCAATGCTGTGGTGAGAGACAACACATGCAATGAGAACACTAACAGGTGCCTTAGGGTCACAAAAGCTGTGAATGGGCATCGCTGCTTTCAAGGTCCACAAGTAGCAGACCGAAAGACACTCGATGAATTTAGAGGTAGTTGATAAAACCTGTGGGAATGCTGAAAAAAACATGCCAAGAAAACTGCTGTGGGCAACTATAACCTGGTGCCCCGTACTAGGCAGCATTAAAATAGCTGTTACCAAGTGCTTCCCTGGAAAGGGCAAGGTCCTGAGTTTGATTAACTAAATAAATAATAAAATAGCTACCTAAAATGTCAACTTTGAACTAGAACATGTGTGCTGTAAATCTGGGTTGGGGATTCCTAGGCGAAAAGTCAACGGACGGCTTCAGAGCCAAGATCCTGGGTGTGGCTCTGAGCACTTGTTAAGATTTCTGAGAGAAGGATGGTGATAGGGGATGTTGCTGGGGCAGAGAAGCCTGGAGCTTGCAGGGTGTTGCTTCTGGCTCCCCCAATATTCTCCAAATCCCAGTGAGGGCAGCCTGCACCAACAAGAACCCCAAACATGACCTGCAAAGCTGAGTTACGGAAAAAGCCTCAGAGATCCACATGCAACTCATTCACAAGCCTGCACCTGGCAAAAGACATCAGACACTAGGAAACACTGCAGAAATCGCACTCGGACACAGCTGGTTCGGTGCAGAAGGGCTGCCTAAACCAAGGTGAGAAGGGGTGTTGGGGAAATATGGGAGCCCCAAGCCTTCCCTGGGAAAGACACCTACCCTCAGAACTAAGATGCGGCCATCTACTGTAATTAAGATGGCTTTGGATGGGACTTGACTGAAAAGTCAAAATGTGCACCCAGGAAATAAACAGATTCCTTCCACACGTTAGGTCTGTGTCAATAATGGTGGGCAATATGCTCCAAAACACAAAGCAAATGCATCATGAATGGTTTTTCTCCAAGGTATGAATGATGCCAGTTTCACACCGAGCTGTGAGTCTTTCCACTGCTTTGAAAGGAAGAGCAGTTTGCAGGGACCTCAGCTGAAGAGGGGATTTCCTAAGCCTCTGCACTGTGATTTAGAATCTTCTTCTGGGATTAAATGGCCAAGCGTGACTGAGCAGGTTTTGGTCAGGGATGATTCCAGGAAGGGCCTGTAGAAAATTTATCCCCTGGGTGAAACTCTAGGTGTGTGGGTCCTCATCCTGCTCAATTTTGCAAGCCCACTTGGAGGGTGCACATCCCCGCAGGAGCACAGAGAGGCCTCTGGGCCCCTGGAGATGTCCCTGTGTCATCAGCTCTTGTGATAAACCTGCATGCAGGCACCACACCGGGCTAAGCAAAGACAGGGCTGTGGGCCATTTTTGCACTGCTGCCCTAGCTAAACTCACACCATCCTCTCCAGTGTCCCCTTGTCCTCTCCAGTGTGTGCCCAGGCATCACCACACTGTTCCCTAGGGCTGAGGATTGAAAGCCTTGCTCAGGTCATCTCTGCCCATCCTTCTGGGTTGTGCTGATCTCTCTCCTGGGAAGACCTGCTCACTAGCCTCTGTCCCTGCAGGTGAAGTCTGCCATCCCCCGATCCCACAGTCCTACCCCTCCCACCTCCTCTCTGCAAGGCCCTCAGGAAATTTCCTAATGTGCAGGAGAGCCCAGCCCAGGGCTCCCAAGAGCGGTCCTGGGTCACTGCCTCTGTCTGTGTGTCAGTTGCATCCACTCAGCTTCCTTTATGATGAGGAGTTGAAGTTTATATACAAATGTTCCTAGGCCACAGGGGATAAGAGTGACATTCCCAGTTAATGCGACTATGGGAACACTGAACATGAGGTGTGCTTCCCACTCACATCACATCTGCTGGTCCTGTTCTGACCATAAAGGAGCAGTAACCCACTTGTCCTATTTCTAAACCCCCGAAAGTACCACAGTTCAATGTTCTCTTTCAAGGGGACATTTACACACAAGCAGCCTCAGTCCCAGCCTGGGATGGCATCTGTCCCTGCCTCCAACTCTGCTCAGAAACACCTTTGGCTGCTGCTGCTGCTGCTGTTACTGCTGCTGTGATTGTTGCTGTTGACGTCGATGTTAGTTTTGTTACTGGACACGGAACCAGTCCTCACCCTGAGCTGCATTCCAGGCCTTTTATTTTGAGACAGGATCTCAGTCACCCCTAAGTTGCCCAGGCTGAGCTCAAATTTGCCATCCTTCTGCCTCAGCCTCCTAAAGCATTGAGACTGTAGGCCTATGCCGCTGGGCTCGGCTTATATTGGGTTTTTAATCTCTCTACTTTCTAAAACAGAGAGAAGGGGAGAAGCACTCTTACCTTTGCTGGAGGTCTTGGTTTTGTGGCGCTCCCATTCACGTCTTGAGCTCTGCCCAGGACCCGCACTCCGAAAGACCAGCCACCAAGGCTGTTGATAGTAAACACAGTGTCAGTGTCCAACCAGGCACATGGGGCACAAGACGGCACCAAGGGGACATTCGTGAGCTGCAATGGTCAGAGTGATCACACAGTTCTGTGCCCGGCCTGGGGCAGGACCACGTTAGCCACAGCACAGAGGGGGTGCCCCAGCACAAACACGGTCACCTGTGGCCATGGCAGTGACCACAGCGCTGCACTGGACTCAGGTCACGCTGCTAGGAGTCCACTACTCCAGGGCCTGCAGCCGTCTCCATCTCGACTCCACTGTCCCCTCGGCTCATCACCCTCTCTGCTCCCTTCTTTCTCCAGTCTCCTACTACCTGGTCCTGGGAGGTGTCGGGACCAGATTCGGGCGAGACTCCCCTCCCTGTGGAATTCCCCCCACACCCTACACCTCCATTGCGTGTATTAAGTGCCCCATGGGGTTTGGACCTTCAGCTTGTGAGCTGGTTCAGGCAGGTCTCCACTGATCCCAGCAATGACTACATTCCCAAAACAGCAGACGTGAGACTCAAAGGCGCGTCTTAAGCTTGACAGAGATTTTTCTGGATAGAGATTTTCCAGTGGCTCCCTGAACCCACTGGAAAAGGTGAGACAAAGGGACAGGAATGTGACCTCCCTACCCGGGGCCAAGGGATTCATGCATTCATTCACTCAGCAGACACGGGCTGGGTGCCAACCACAGCAACGCAACACGTATATCCATGCATGATGGTAGCTCCTGGAATGCACGCTTTCTGATCTGCCAGAAACTGCTCGAGTGCTGGGTGTACAAGTTCCTATCGTTGAGGAGCAAAGGCCAGGGACCACAGGACAGGTGACAGACACTAGGAGATGGCAGCAGAGCTGCAGGGAAGCCATGCTGGAACAGCCAGGCTGGTGTCTGGGGCTGTGTTACAGAGGCCGGCTTCCTGCGCAGCCCACAGGGTGCCCATGTGTGTGAAACATCTTGTGATGTGCAGGGACTCAGAAAACTCAGCAGTGTGGCAAATGTCACTGATTGAAAGCAAGAAGTATTTGTCCCCCTCATCTAGAGTCCTTCACCACCTCCCCCAGGCTGAGGGAAAATCAGCACTGAAACTTTCCCCTAACTCCCAAACTTGCCAAGGAGGAATTTTAAAGAGGGAGTTACACCAGGCTCCCAGGCTGCTGGGAAGCCTAAGAAGAGGTACTGTTCCATTTTATGTCAGCATCAGGATCTCTGCGGACTCACCCCTGGAGACCACAGAGGGACACACGTGCTGCCGCAGGTCAGAGCTGATGTAATGCTCAGCTGAGGGACCGCTGAGGGATCTCAATGGAGAGGATTCCCTCAGCGCTTCCAAAAGGGAAGTGAGCAGAGAGGAACCTGCTCAGGGCTCAACGTGGGGCTCCAGTAGCTGTAGGAGCACCCAGAGAGGAGTCAGACTTCTGAGTTTTTGAACTATTTGCACGTAAAACATTCTGTATCCATGGCTCTGTGTGTCCAACCAAGTCTCTGCATGGTGTGGACAACTGACCTTTGTCATCATTCCCTAAACAACACAGAGCACAGTTGTTTGCCTAGCAGCTACATCGTACCAGACATGACAGTCATCTGGAGATGGTTTAAGGCACACAGGAAGTCGCAGGAACATTTCATGCAAATACTGTGCTACTTTTTATTAGGCCATGTTTGCATTGTAAAGTTTACCTCCCCAGAGCGGAGCTAGTACGTGTGCATCACCGCTTCATTCTTTGTCCATCCCCTCCCCCTCCCTTCCTTTCCCTGTCCCTCCATTCCTTGATCCACTTCCCTTTTGGTAAGTAGTTTCCTATTATCTATCCTTCATTCTGCTCTTTATCATCTGAGTTTCTCACATTAGAGAAACCATGTGATATTTAAATTTGCGTGTCAGGTTTATTTCACTTAATGTGGTCTTGAGTGCCTTCCTCTTCCTACAAATGGCTGTGCCTATCCTTCTTTAGGCCACAGTAGTGTTCCATTTGTGCAACAGCGTGTTTCTTTCCAGTCATCTGTGGATGGATGGAAGGGCGGCTTCCATACAAAATCTTTTTGCTCTGATTTGGGGCCCTAGTGCAACAAGCCCTGTTTGTGTCACAGGGACATAAATTATTACAAGTATTCACAACATCCATGCAGGTGGCAAGACAGCTCTGGTCTTGGTAAACACCCAGAGAACTCTTAGGACAGACAGTGGTGGTGACCTACAGCACCCATCCTCTAGCGAACTGTTTGTATTATGAAAGATCAAAAAGGTTCACCATCATTTTAGGCTTTTGGAGAAATCTATCAGGTGGAGGTTGTTTAGGTCATCACTTCTGTGATTATAAGCTGAATCCTGGCGTATAAGGGTGGCCTTCAGAGTCCTGCAGATCTCCAGTGATGCTGACCTTGGCCTCCTCTGATTTATCGGAGGAGTTGATGCCTTCACGTTTCTGAAATAAGGAAGCTATGAAAAGCAGAAAGGTGCCTCAGCTACACGGGGGAAGGTCCCTCAACCACCTGTGCCCAACAGAGGCAGTGTGTACTTTGTCTCCAGCTCTGAGAACTGCCTCCTGTCCACAGTGACATCCTATCAGATCTGACAAAGCAGCACAGGGGACCACCATCCTAGGAACAAGGCATCCTAGGAACACTCAGTGTAGATGCTTACTAAATATACACTCACCAGATGAATACACAATTTAACAACAAAAACTACTTAGAGATGAGAAAGAGTTGAGACTCATACACCTGCATAAGACTTTCTAAACCTAGAAAGGACAGCCTTGTGAATATAAAAGTAAAAACATTAATTAAATGAGTAGTCACCATTGAGATACAAAAAGTGTCACGGGAGAAATATCACAGTGACAAAAGGAAAGACAAAGAAATCTTCAAGGCAAGATAAAGAACTTGAAAGATGGACTGGGAGATCATAGCATGTGATGTAAAAAGGCATTCTAACAAGAGACAAGGGGAAATGGATGTGAGGAAATGATTATACCAACAATAGAGGAAAATTGGCTTGATCTCAGTAAAGAATGAAGTCTGCAAGTCTGCTGCAGAAAAGGTTTCAAAAAGGAAAGAATTCTCCTCTCCAAGGATAAAGAAGGAATCTTACATATCACAGTTGCCTAGAAGAAGAAAGAGAATCAGGAGGAGTGCTCCAAACTAGCCTGCATGCCTGGAGGCTGTAAGAATAAACCCCATTATAACACACCCTAGAGTTTAAGACTTCCTAACCTCTCTCCTCTCAGTTTGAAAAAGCGGGGCTCTTCTACTTAAAATGCTTCATGACATCTTCAGGAAGCCCCAAGACTTCCTCAACTGCGCTCATTTCTCCGGCTTACCCTCTAGAAGAACTTGCCCACTCCTTGCTCTAGAAGAAACTTTCTTTCCTGTTTGCCTGGGAAATACATATTGACCTTTGCAGATTCTCACAGATGCCGTGGTTTTATAAAAGTCGTCCTTTACACCCTCAAATGGTACCTCCTGCAACTTAGGTACAACTGCTGCAACAAGCATCTCACAACAGTTCCGAGACCCCCCATCTGCCTGGCAACCTGAATGTGAACTCTCTCAAGACAGGCCTCGCTTCTCTGCATATTGCTATGGTTTGGAAATGGTTTGAGTGGGTCTCCCTGAACTTCATGTGCCAGGCTTCTGGTCCTAGTCTGGGGATGCTAAGGTGATAAAACCTTCAAGGCATGGGTCTTGCCGGAATATAGCTGGATCCTTAGGGTTTCGGTCTCAGAAGGGATTCATGCTGCTCTCCTGGTGTTGAATTAGTTCTCAAGAGAAAGTAGTGAAGGCTGGATCTGGAGTAACTCAGCCAAACTGAGGCTACTGATATCAATGAATGATCGAGGTCCCTCCTTCAGTGTCTTTCGACCCCAAATCTATAAACTTACAGCTCTGGCAGGGTCTTGAGTTGATTCTTTGGTGGCTCAACTTGGGCTCTTCTGGATTTCTGGTGGGCAAACCCTGATGTTCCCTGGTTGAAAGATGTTTATAGCTTCCATGTGTGAGGCACAAGGCTCTCTGCAGAGCAGTGTGTGCAGAACCTGCTGTCAGCCTACAGGTGACTTGGGGAGAGGAGGAGAGCACACACTTTATAGACTTTGCTAAAATCCTAAATCTGGCCTCTGACTTCCTGATCAGGGCCTGGAAGGCAGTGCATGCCAGGCCTCACGTCCTGTTCATCAGGGGTTCTGGGCTGTCACCGTGAGGAGCCAGCTGCATGCTGGCCAGGGGTCCAGTGGCCCCACTGGTCTACACATTTGCTGTGAGGCAGCCTAAAAGGCGCAAAGGCTTCCCAAAACGTACTCCTGCAAATTCTGACCTCAGAAATAGGGAAAGTGTTCATAGTAGTTTTTTCCCGTGTTGGTGATAAAAGCCAGTGCTTTCTCACGAATAAGGTAAACACTACCACCACTCTGTTACCCCAGCCTTCACACTAGAAGTTTGTTATTTGGGAACCAGAAGAACATGGTGGATAGATAGCAGCAGCCTCTGAGGCTCTCTGAGAAACCGCACTTGAAATCTTGAAATCTAGGAATGGTGCCGGGCAGGAAGTCCCAGGCAAGGTGGGATATTCTTTGCTGACCCAGGAACAAACTAAATTAAGAGAAACCACTTGGAAACGCAATCCTGGTGATATAGCAGGCACAGATAAGGTCTCAGCACAGAAGCTGGACCCGCACCACTGGAAACTGAGATTTGAATTACGTGCAGCTGCTGTTTCATCCCGGTCGGCACATCGTGGAGAGAGGTGCAAAAGCTCGGAGTGGAAAGCGTTGAAAGGAGTTCAGAGCAGGACTGGCCAGGTGCCCTGCATCAACCCGTAGTGAGTGAGCCAACCGGGACCCTTCCATAGAGAAGGAGGCTTCAGTGGAGGACATACTCAGACCGGGCAGACTACCCGGAACGAGAAGCTGCAGTGACTTCAGTCACATATCCCCCTCTCAAGTGGGATTGGTGGAGAGTGCCTGGCCTGTCAGATGCTGCTGTCCCAGTGCCTAGAGGTGCACCCTAGCCATGAAGCCTGAGGTAGGCTGACCTGGAGGGGCAGGCCCACCATAGGCTACCCAGGTCTGTGTCTCCTTGGTGCCACTGCGGTGGGCAGGAACACCTAGCCGGTGCAATTCAAACAGACTGTGGCCAACAGGGAAGGAAGGTGGGCCTCCTATACAAGCTTAAATATAAGGAACAAAGAATATGGGAAGAGGGAGCAACAAGAAAGGGTCCTCGGCCCCCAATCCTGAGAAACATGCAATAGTAGACACGGCACCAATAAACATAAAGCGCTATCTCCAGAGCCTCATAGACAAGTTCAGGAATGAAGTTATTAATGACCTGAAGCAAGACATAAGTAGAATAGAGAAATGCTAAGCACCACCCAAGAAAAAAACAGATGGTGGAATGGAAGAACAAAAAAAGGGTTGAGAATTGTTTCATGGAGAAGACAGAGAAAACATGGAATACGTAAAGCAGGTTCAAAGAGATTACCAGGAAACTAAAAATTCTATTGAAAACTGGCATAATAGCTTGAAAGAAACTAAGGATAGATTATCTGAACTGGAGGGCAGAATTGTAATATGCGAGCATGAAATGAAAAACCTTAAAAGTAACAAAAAAACAAACAGCAATAATACAAAAACTAAGAAGTGGGGACACAAACAAATGGACTACAAGAGCTATTCACAGAAATAATCCAAGAGAATTTCCCTAATTTGACAAATGGTAAAGATACTCAGATATTATGAGGCATACAGGACTCCAGCTGCCTACAACCCAAACAGAGCAACACCCAGGCATATAATAATCAAAATTCCAGAAATCCAATATAAGCACAGAATATTAAAAGCCATCAGAGACAAGAAACAGATCACTGACAAGGGAACACCCATCAGAATTACAGCAGACTTATCTGCACAAACCATCAAATCACGAAGAGCGTGGGGGGAAATAATTCAAGCTTTCAAAAATAATAACCTCCAGCCAAGATTGATATATCCTGCACAACTTTCCCTAGAAATTGATGAAAAAACAAGGTGCTTCCAAGATAAAGAGAAACTAGGGGAATTTGCAACCACTAATTCAACTCTACAGAGAATACTGCAGGATAGTCTAAAAAAAGGAAAATACCAAGATGTCAGAAATAGTGGCAGAGAGGCCACAATGAATGGAGCAGAAAACGAAATGGAGAAGACAAACTGACAACAAACGACAGAAAAAGAGCTTAACAGAAATGAGGCAGAGAAGATTGGAAGGTAGGAACAGCAATTTTGGAGAAAACAAGGCATCATAATAGCTAGTGCTGATTTAGTATCATCTTGTTTAGAAGTCCCATCAAACGTGTATTTTTCTGTCTCCATTGGTCTTAAAAGGTTGTATCTTATTGGATTTTATTATATATGATAATATAAGCAAAAACTTTTATAGACAAGGAGTTCATATAGAAACCATTGTTCATTTTCTGTCAATTAGTTTGAAATATCTTGTAATAATGTCATCCTCTTGAATGGTTTTATAGTGTCTTGATATGTTTGGTGCTATAGTATAAGAAGTTATACTCAAAGATTTTAAGGAAACAGACACTATGGTAACTATTTCTATGTCAGGATATCTTGTGGTGAAACACTATTTTGCTTAAGTGGTTATGATTTGACCTGCGCTGTTCTGTTGTTATGCCCTCTTTCATCTCAATCCCCCTTTTAAAAATTATTTATTTTTTCTTTTTTTTTTAATTAAGGGAAAAATAAATAAACAATAGCAGGATACATTATAGTAACCTACTCTGATTTCCTATTAACTTGATTTGAAATCCTGTATTGCCCTCACCATCTTGTTTTGACTGATTTTCCTCTATTCTGCTTTGCTTGATAGTACCAAGTTCGAAGTATAGGCATAACTGTGAAGACAATAAAAATCATTATAATGCCCATTCCGGTTGACTATTATTTTCTTTTAAAATCCTGTAATGTCTCCAATGCTTTGGTTTTATTCTTTACTGTTTAGTTCAATTTCATTATAACTGTCAATTCTTCTTAAAATAGCAAGAGGCAGTGTGGTAACTATTGTTGATCACCTCATATTTTGTTTTTACATTAGTATGTCCATCCTTTTGATTTGACTGACTCTGTTCTGATACGTTGCGTTTGGTTTTACTCTCTTCAAAAAAAGTAGTAAGAACTGTGGGAGTAATAAAACCCAAAATGTGTAATTGTCATTGTACAAAAGAAACGAAACTGATCTAAAGGTTATAACTGCATATATGTTTAAGTGTGTAAGATAGATAACCATATTACTGAGTGTTTTTTGGATCATTGAACAAAACTGTTTGCACTCTCACTGTTTTGAAAGTCCACTTTATATGCTTCAAATTTGTAACTTGAACAACTATTTCTAAGATGAGAATACATAATCTATGTGATTTCTTACTATCTTTTAAATTTTGTATTACCTGTAGTCTTTTTCTGTGTTTTTTTCCTTATTCTCCTCAAATTAAAAAAAAAAAAGGAGTTTGTTATTTGAAATCCTTAAGAACATTAAAACTATTGCTGTTTGTCTTCATCCAGGCTGCTCTCACAGAAGACTCTACACTGGGAGATTTCTCAGCAACAGAAACTCGTATCCCATAGCCCTGGAGGATAGAAGTCAGAGACCAAGAGTCCCAGGCCAGGTTCCACAGGAACTTCTTCTGGGTCACAGGCACCTGATTCACTCACATGGAACCCACAGTGTCATGAATAAAACTGATGCACAGCTATGGCTGGGACAGGTCCTGCCCTGGGCTCAAGACACAAAGCCCATGCAAACTATAACCACGGTGACTGAGGTTTGATGGTCACAGGCAGCTCTGGGGCTGATTTCTCAAGCCGTACACAACTGAATATCTTACCTACCATGTGAGAGGCAGTGAAACCATCTTCTGTACCTTGTGTCTGTTGTTCTAGACAAGGTTTCTGCTCACATCCTTGTCTGCAATTCTCAGTGCCTGACTGGCTCTGGGAACTGCTCCTCTTATAAGTCATTTCTGCTTTGCTTTGTTCTGTTTAAAGTCTTTACCAAATTTTATTGCTGTAGTGAATGTTTCTTTAACAATATCCCAACAGGGAAGAAAGGCGGTCTCCAGCTGGTTTTGTCGTCTCTTCAGAGGGCACAATCCCACTCACAAAGGACCCACCCTTCTGACCTACTCAGCTTCCAAGCACCCTGTTAATATGGTGTCCGCCCTGGAGAGCTGATTTCCACACGTGCATTTCAGGGAAACACACTCAGTCCAAAACACTTCTCACAACCCACCGGACAAGTTTTGAAATGTAAAGGAGAGTGCATTTCTTACCTGAAAAAGTACATCTCTGCCCTCTCATAGTGGCCTGGTGTCATTTGGAGGGGAGGGTAGTCAGTGGTCAGAGGCTGCACCATGAACAACAAGCCCATGGCCAAGGCCACGAAGAGGACGGGCAGCAGCAGGTCACAGGCCGTGCTCTTCCAGGTTCTGCACGTGCAGAACAGCTGCTTCCTCAGGAGCACCGCCATCTGCACCAGAAGCAGCCGGTGGCCACGGACCAGTGCAGGCGCGGTTTGTGGAGGTGAAGTCACCACGGAAGAAACACCTGCAGCCAGAAAAGGACACTGGGGTGAGTGGGCTGTGGCTGCAGGAGGATGTGGCTCCCAACGCCTGCCTGGCTCTTCTAATGGTGACTTTTCTATAGCGACCCTTTCAGAAGACCACGCATGCTCAGTTTGGCACCTAAAGGGCCACATGTGGTCCTCCTGTGTCCTTGCTCTAGAAGGCAAAACTCTGAGATGATGTTTAATGGTGGCATAAGACGCAAGCCCAACATGGAGCTCTGATCTTGCTCCTGATAGCAGAGGGACAAAATGGGCCAGTGACTGCCATGAAGCCTAATACCTAGATGCAGATTCTAATTCCTCAAAGACAACAGCTGCAGGAGGTTCTCTGAGCCCCAAAGGGCTCAGAGGAGGCGGGGTGAGGGGTACAGGAGACCTGTTCCCCTGGTTAGATTCCCCCCCTTTTCTTGTCATCTTTCCCTCTTAACTTTCAACCTGAAGTCTCTCCTGAGAAATCCCCTGCTTGTGAACAATTCAGGTCTCAGGGCAAAGCCACGCCACCCAGCTGCCCCTGGTTCAGCCTGCAGCAGCCCCTCTTGCTCCTTCCTCCTGTGCAGCCAAGGTGGAGAGGAGCTGTCAGCCCTCAGTCAGGGCCCCCGTGCCACCACAGCCACCCCCTTCCCTGGGGACCCTGGCAGTCCTGTGTCCCCTTCTTTCTCCTCTGTGGGACCCAGCAACTCTGAAAACAGTCCTGTCATCACAAAAGTACATGGGTAAAATTTAGAGGAAAATCCTGCTTTGTGCTCTGGTGATCAGCGGAGGATTCTGCAAAAAGTCTCTGTATACACGCTGTGGGGTAACTGGTTCCATGGGACCAGTGAGGGAAGAAGTCAATCAAAAGCCAGGCAGACCTAGGGCTGTCCCCTACACCATGTCTCACACAGGGACCAGTTTTCACCATGAATGACAGCAGCTTGCCCCAAGGGGCTTCCTAAACAAACTCCAACACCAAGTATTTCAGAAGAAAAGCAGTCTTAGGAAAAAACAGACACACTGGGCGGACTGTCACGCTCACACATACTGAAGTAAAACTCGGTTACTAGAAGAGCAGCCACCAAGGTCTTTGCTGGGCAGCTGGACCACTTGGAAGATGAGTGCTTCTTACACAACCTCATAATGGGGCTACGGATCCGGAATGGGACACAGATGGGAACCAAACTGTGGCAGTCCTGAGACACGGACTTCAGACTCTGTGTGTGGCAGGCTCTGGACTATTTGGTTTCCCTCCCCAACAAAATTAACACAACAGAGGAACTGAACTGAAAACAAAGAAACACCCAACACAGAGACAGGCATTGTTACAGAGGGGTGCAGATGCCAGTGCCAAGTGGTGAGCCCCTCCAGGATGCTAGAAAGCAGGCAGAGCTTCAGAGGCATCCAAGGGTGGGAATTTAAGATGCGAATGTTTAAACTCAAAAAGGAGATGCAAACAGGCACCATGAATTCTGTGAATCCCACCGGAGGTGGGCAGCAGGTGCCACTGACCACAGCAGTGCAGGAGACAAAATGGGATAGGGGGAGGCCGTAACTGCCCGGGCCCTGGACCAGGCGCCCAGGCCACAGTCACTAAGTGAACTTGTACTGTGTAATACCCCATCACTGTGTGCTGTAAAAATACAGGGATCCAAGAGGTGATTTGTAAGCCACACACACCTCAGTCACCTGGAAACAGGGCTGAAATGCTGACTTCCAGGCTCCACTACAGACAAAGTGAGTTTAGCTTTCCAGGGGTTCTGATGTGTCCTGCTGGGCTCCAAGACCACCGCATTTAATGCATGGGCTATGCTGACTCCAACCCCCACAGAGAGGCCGCAATGCTCAGAAAGTGTAACATGAGGCTCAGGGCAACCCTTCTTCACATACACACGTGCGCTTCCTGACATTTTCATGGGGTAATAATTCCAGTTAACACCAATTTGTGGTCTGATGGATGCAGACCTAGAAGGATCATTATGGAAGCTACCTAACTTGGGTAAAAATAATTCTAATGTTTTGGGGTTGTCTATTTCCAGGATTTCTAAATCTAATTATTGTTATAGCTGCTCCATATCTTCATTGTTTTAACTTAGCAAGTTTTTCCCTCCTGCAGAGTAGGATGGTTTATTTCGTTTAAGTTCAAGAGGAACTCAAAGGTCTCTGGTTGGTCCTGTGATTTTCCCTCCCTACTTTTATCATTAGCAGCTACCAGAAGGTACAGTCCATGGTTTACATGAGTAACCAATTTGACATCTAGCTGCCCGCACTTAACAAGCCTGCAAACTGTGCACTGTTTCCTATTAAGACACAGCAGGCAAAGGCCGCAAGTACCTGCGTGCATACCAGGAAGGGGCACGCTGGGTATCCGCATAGCAAGTCTGCCCTGGTGACAGGTGGGCATGCAGGCAGAGACAGCACAGAGGCTGGTGCTGCCGATCGTGCTCACTGAGACAAGCATCAAGGTGGCAATGGTGACCAGGACACAAATCCAATCTCAGGCACCTATATTCTGTGCGACTCCTGGAAAACCACATAGCCCTCTAAATGCCAACTCCCTTGTAAACTACAGACTTACAGTGTTTTCCCCCAAATGGTGAAGATTATTATTAGAGCACTTATTAAACCATCAGAACAGGCACACGCTGACCTCTGTCACATCAAATGTTTGCCTGACAGTGTCAGTAAGTCTGCAGGGAAAGGTGCGTCTCATATTAAGAAGAATAAATTTTCTCCACCTTCCCTTACACTTTAATTGGACGTAAATGAGAATCATCAAAGGCTGGCATAGTTTATGGTTATGGATTCACCAGAAATCAAATATTCATGCTAAATTTATATAGCTCTTCCCATGAATAATTTAACAGACAAAATTAAAACGCTAGGCCAAGTAGTTATGAATTGTCTTATCTGACTGACGAGCGCAATTAAAGGCAAGGACTCGGGTTATCTCTGGAGGCACCTATGGGTTCCCAGTGACTCCAAGACTACTGAGCTGCTTAAGGAGAATGCCCAGGGATTTCTCTTTCCTTTTCTTTCTTTTTTCATCAGTGGTGGCAGTTGTTCAAACATGAATGCTTGGTGGGGAACAGCTTAGAATATCAAGGACTTGGCAGCCTCCTCGGAATACAAGGTCCACATGACCAGCTCCCCCAAAGTATTCTTGAAGTTTTCCAATGAAGTTTTACCCATGACAGTTTTCACTTCAGTATAAACAAGATGAACACTGCAGAAGAAAGCAGACACACGGAAGATATAAAGACCGCAAAACAGCCAATCTGTGAATGCTGTCAACGGAGGCAGTGACTTGGCTTTTAAGATCTAAGATAATGTTAACACCTAATCTTAAGGAGTGTTCAAGGTGCAGAGTCTCATACAAGGCAGGTAGGAGAACAGATCTCTAAGATAAAACAGAACTACACACACAGGCCTTCTTACATCTACCTCACATCCAATCTAAAAGTTTAGCATTTAAAAATCAGAAATGCATCAAATAGATAAAGCAAGGTGATTTGTGATCTCCTATAGAAAACATTTCTGGAAGTTGGAAAAACTTAAACATCTAACCCAAGAGGACCAACTCAGCACATTACAGGGCCAGGTGCCTTTTACCAAACAACTTCTACACCCCATGTGCGATTTGATGAGGGAGTTTAATCCACATGGTCGCCCAGCTGTCTGAGCCTGGTTCCACTCTCTTGAAGATTTAATTATGTGTAAGACTAGGGCTACTCTGATTTTTCTCACAAGTTTCTGGGTCTATTTTTATTCATCTTGTAGTCAATAATTGTCCTGTAAAGACCACACTTACAGGCAGCCCAGTTTTATGAGCTAGAAACAATGTAACATACTGTTCTCTGGGTTACAGAACTTTAAAACTGAAATAGCTTTTAAACTATGTAGCTCAGACTTTTCATTTACTTATAATCACATTCTGTTTAGAACTTATGAAAGAGGTTAAATTCAAGGGAGTAAAATGTACTTACTGGTGTCTGTAATACAGATGGTTCTTGCACCACTTGAATAGGTTTTCAAGGACTCGTCATGGAAGAGCCAAATATGTAAAAAACAAAAACAGTCAGCTAAGCCCGACCGAGGGGTTGGAAGGTACACAAGGCTTGGTCACGGGAAGCTGCCCCAAGGAGGGCTGCCAACACTGGGACTGGAGATTCAGAAAGTGTTCATTGACTTGGGTGGGGTGGGGGTAAGGAGAGTGCACAGGCTGCTCCCAGATCTGAGGCACATGGGAAGCATGAAGGCCACTTTCCATGGCGCTGCGGTCCTGACCCTCAACTTCTGCACCATGCACGGGCAGAAGAAGCATGAATCACTGCACCAGTCCCGGCATCTCAGTGCAATAGAATCAGGTGAGCGGCACAGAGTCTTAAAGTGTTACTCATTCCACTGAGAGCAAGGTTTAGCAAGATGAGTGGACACCTGGGAGATGGGTATGGACTCTGCCAACATCCCGCTGAGGAGGCCACGCAACCCAGTACCCAGAGTCAGGATGCCTGGGTTCCAGCTGGGCTTCTAGATTCCCCTCCCTTGCCCCATTTATGAGACCAAAAGCGTGCATGGGCTGGGCACCAATTTGTGTCCTGGGAAAAACAAGATGTGTGCCGTTTATACAAAGCATGACTTGAGTTATTTTACGTGTTTGCATTCTCCAAGAAGAAAATTAACAAATCAAATGGTCTCTCATCAAGAAAGAAGAGTGAAGAGGAAACAGGAAAGAAAACCAGAAGCGACAGAAGTCAAATGTGTCTCAGCACCTGTGTGCTTAGTATCACAACATAAAGCTCAAGAAATAATTATGTATAAAATAGTAAGGTAACACACAGACACATTTTAAAACCATGCTAGGTCACTGTAACTTTAGTTAAATATACATTTCAAAATCAAAATCCATCTTAATTATGCTTCATTCTTTAAAGAAGTTAGGAAGCTGAGGCTGTTTATATCAAAACTGTTCTGCTGATAACCTCACAACTC